GCCGTGTACCTCTCCGTCTCTCGCCTCACTTCCCGCACCGCCTCGTGGAAAATGTGCTGCACCGATTCAAAATCCTGGCAAGCTGAGACTTCGTGGAAGGGAGCGCCATACTTGGTGGCCAGAGAGATGCCTTCAGCTTTGGTGACCTGTCTGGGAAAAGTAGCCGGATGTAAATATTCTCACAAAAACTACTTGACCCAGAAGCAGAGCTAGAAAAAGTAACTGTAGTGATGGGTTCATCTTGTCGTTGTTGTTGTTGGGTGCCTTCAAGTCGTTTCCGACTTATGGTGACCCTAAGGCTTTCAAATCATGGGGTTTTCTTGGCAAGATTTGTTCAGAGAGGGTTTGTCACAATTGTCTTCCCCTGTGGCTGAGAAAGTGGGACTTGCCCAAGGTCACCCAATGGGTTTCAATGGCTGAGAGGGGATTTGAACCCTGGTCTCCACAGTCCTAGCCCAATGTTCAAACCACTACACCATGCTGGCTCTCTAGGTTCATCTTAGAGTCACCATAGGTTGTAAAGAACTTGAAGACACAGAAGAAGGAGGAAGAGAAGGTGAAGGAGAAGAAGAAGAAGGAGAAGGAGAAGGAGAAAGAGAAGGTGAAGGTGAAGACGAAGGTGAAGGAGAAGAAGGAGAAGGTGAAGTTGACAGTGATGGAGAAAGAGAACCGAAGGGGAAAGAGAAAGAGAAAGAACATTATTAGCAGGGAGAACCCTCCCAGATGTGGCTCTTAGCATGTCCAAGGAGCCATGGAGCAAGGGATTCACCTTGATTTCACCTGCCAGATACTTACCTGTACTGTTCCATGTCCAGCTTGTTTCCCACCAGGAGAACAGGCGACTCATGGTGGGCATTCTTCAGGTGGAGTCCAATGATATCCAGGTACTGACGGCATCCCTCAAAGCTCTTCCGGTTGTCGATGCTGTAAACGACAATGAAGGCACTGGCCCAGTTGAGGTATCGCTCACAGCTCACTGGGATGTCCTACCAGAGAAGAGAGATTGACAGCAAGGCCCTCCATCAGAATCTATCAGACTCTCTTGTAGCAAATACCAGAACTTGGGGAAACTTGGCTTTTTGGACTGTAGCTCCCACAATCTATGGCAGTGGTTCCCAAATTTTGGTCCTCTAGGTATTTTGGACTTCAATCCCCAGAGGTCCCAGCCAGCTTGGCCAACAGTCAAGAATTTTGGGAGTTGAAGTCCAAAACATCTGGAGGACCAAAGGTCGGGGACTACTGATCTACAATGTATCTTCCAACATTTCCTAAATGAAAACCAGGACACATGTGGCCATGCAGCATCAGGGGCCTGATCTGCACTGCACAAATGATGCAGGTTGACACCACTTTAATAGCCATGGCTTAATGCTATGGGATCCTGGGATTTGTAGTTTGTTGTGGTACCAGAGCTCTCTGATGAGGAAGGCTCAATATCTCACCAAACGACAAATCCCAGAATTTCATAGCATTGAGCCACTGAACACTGAGTTAAAGTGTGTCAAACTGCATTATTTCTGCAGTGCAGATGAGGCCCAAATCTAGTCAAGATGGCAAAAGTTATTAATGGGGAAGGGCTCACAAGCTAGGAGAAGCTGCAGCAGTTTTATTTTGCCTGAGCCTACAGGGAAGGGCAAGATTTTGCCCTCTCCTCTCTATGGAGTTAATTGAGTGCAAACTACTTTTCCACTTTGAACTCAGTTTGCATCAATGGAAATAACCTGAAGACAAAAGGGGAAAGTGGGAGGAGGAGAGAAAAGCAGCTGAAAAAGTGGGAGAGCAGAGGACTAATCAGGACAGTCCCTACCAAATCAGTACCATCGGAGGGGATACCTTGTTGGCCAGGGGATTCTGGTAGTTGTAATCAATGCTGTGAATCCTACTGGTAGCCCCAACTAAAGTAGACCCATTGAAGCCATGGAATTTGCATAGGTGTTGACCCATCATTCAACAATTTATTTAACGGACCTGCTCTAGCTGAGATTGCAGATAGGATTCAGCTCCCTTATCCTCAAAAGTAACTTTTCCAAGCTCTGGCAAAATCCCTCACCACCTCATACAGCACTGAGTGCCATACTTTAGCTACCCATTGAAAGACGGGGAAATTAATACATGATCAATAAGCAATAACAAGTGTTCTGCACTGTTTAAGCCTTTACTCTGAAGGCAAGTGCCCACAAATTTGCAGCTGCTAACAGCTTCCTCCTCCTTCTGCACTTTTTCTGTTTCCAAGGCTTGCATGGATCTCAAAGGATTGGGCACCATTGTTGGCACTACATTAAAAAGCCCATTGTAAAGATTAAACTGAGGTTGCAAAGACAAGAGCATTGGCATGGCCAAGGAGCTCTCAAAGCTGTAC